TTTAATGATATTTTAAGTTTGATCATCATGAATCATGATTCTTGTACCGCATATTTGGTGTACATTTTTGCATCTAATTTTTACACTAAATATTTTTAACTTAATGTCAAAGTTTTCTTCAATTGTCGTCCTCTGGAAAGTACAACAAAGTGGCGAACAATACATTGAATTCTTGGCGCACCGGCACTCCAGACCTAATCACGCATATAATAGTCACAAATAAATATTGATTCACAAATAAAAAGGTAAAAATGTATGCAAACAGTTATTGGATGCGATTCCTATGGTTTCTCCAGTGAAGTAAGCGATGCCTCGTATGACACAATCGGCGCGAACCAAACCCTCATCAGATTTTCTGGAGCCATACTTTTGTCTTCGCCTCGACTTTACATATAGTGTTGCGTTTCGTTCGGGAATTGCTTTGGATTTTAAGATATAATACTGTATTTTAATAATTCAACAGAATTTTTACATTTTTTAAGTTATATGAGAAACTATTTCAAAATTCTTCGAATATTTCAATATATTTTATAAATAATTTTAATTAAAACTTAATCTTATAAATGAATAATTTTGTATTTAATATAGAGATTAATATTAAAACTTACGGCAGTTATAAATGGATGGATTGCATACTCCTTCGTATGGGATGACTGAACAGCCTTCAGGAGGTGGAGGACAGCTCTGCCTTTATATGCAAATGTTTAACATTAATAATCTAAATGTTATAAAATATTGTCAATTTTCCCGATAAACAATGATTGCATATATTTTCAATTTTATTATACAAATAAATTTACTTAGAATTTTTTTATATATTACCTCACTTTATGTTACATAATTGTAGTTTTGTATAAAGAGGATTATTTTAACAAAAACTTTTCACAATACGTTATTTAATTAAATAATTATAAAAAATTTGTCAAATATTTTAATTTCAAAGAAAATATGTTTTGGTGTATAAGAAAGGGGGTAATCCGTGGATTGAAAATGTAGTTTAAAATAATAGTGATTAAGTTCTAAGCCCTTTAAAATTAGTTTCATCTTAATATGAATTTGAATAATTATTAAAAAAATAAGTGTTTATTATAAAACATAAATACCAGAAACATCTGACAAAACCATTATCGCAAAGACAGTGATGACATCGATGTCTTCGTGTTATCTTCTCTCCCGATGAATAATTAATTCCTTTGAAAAAACAGCTTTTCTTCGCCAATAAATATTTGTATATTTCTTTGGAGTCTATTATTAAACAAAATGTTTTGTCAAATGAGAAAACTATTCGTAAAACATTTACCATTTATTAGGGGTTTTGTTTGATTATTAGCATTGATTTGATTGGAGTCAACAATAATCGACAGCAAAAGAGTTACGATAATTATAAGAAACGAAATCAATGAATGGCAACGGTTTTGCATTTCGTGTGTTTGTTTGGCTAAGAATACTAATCAATACTTTTCTCATTCACTTAACTATAAGACAAATGTAAAGATAAAAGT